CACTCTGCATCTCTCTCTCTCATTCAGCAAGTGATAGTGCTTACCCACTAACTTCCACAGCTGCAGCAATGAACTGTTACAATTATACACTTATTTTCACATAGCTATGAGAAGCATTAAACATGGGTTGCTGTACTGTATTAAAGCTTTAATCAGGATAAAACCGTATATTAAAAGCTAACATAAGCAGTAGCATTTACAACTAACAGCGTATCTAAAAATATGAGACAACAACAAACAAAAAACATAGGCCTACCATTAAAAGCTGTGCTTGCACAGGTTCTGCACGATCCTCTTCAATAATATCCTCTGCTTCTCAATCGGGCTCAAAATGATAAGCGATATTAACAACGCCTTGTTTACAATACAACCATAGCACATGCCGCTGAGGAGAGGGGCGGGACGTTTAGCCCTATTTCTGAGGGCGGGGCTTCATAAAAATCAGCCCGTTTCTCCGAGAAGGGACAGAGCGGTGTGGAATGGTAAATTATGTGAAAAATAATGCGGTTTTTTTTGTTAACTAAGCATTAACACATGTTAGACTGCATCCCATAAACATTCAAGCCTAGAAAAAAAAACTTCTTGTAAATTTATCATCATTTAAACGTCTGATAATCAATTTATTTGATTTCTCACCTGATTATATATTGGCTTAAATTGGCTCTACGGAAGTATCTAATAGTCAAATGCATTTACAAATGCAATGATAGAATACATTTAAAAAAAACAGAAGTAATTTTAAAGAATTTTGTTGTGCTAAGTATCAACTTTGGAATTTTCGGTAAAAGCCTTACAGGAGTGTTGGTCTTTCAGGGCTGTGACTCTGAGATCTCCTCCATGGTAACAGAGGCCCAGAGGAGGGTTGCAGAGTGTATGAACGCAGCTCTCAAAACCATCGGTTTTCTGGCGGCAGTGAATGGGACTGATCTTCTTTTGAATGAACATGGTTCAGAAATCATAGACAACGTGGGTATATTTCTTGTGCAATAGCTGCCGTTTACAGCCCAATAGTAGATTTGACATTAAAAACCAGTCAGAATCAAAAAATACAACACCATTCTCTTTCTCTTTAGAGGTCTGTCGTGGCTTCTTTGCAGAATGGGATTCGTCAGAGTGTGACCGATCTTCTCCTCATTGGTCAGAAGATCACCACAGAGATGCATCGAGATCTTTCATCTGCTCATATACCAGTAAGTTCTCTTAATAAATAATTTACTTGATAAAATGGGATCTTTATTGATCCAGTTAATATTGAACTATAAATGTATACATTAATAACTGATATGGATGTGTACTGTAACATCATTTCATAATATAAATTCTAATATATTTCACAGATTCAGAAATCCAGCGCGATGGATGTCACCAGCACTCTGCAGAGCTACTTCCGCTGCTGTTTGTCGGTACGCCTTACAAACAGCTGTTGCTTGTCATTGAGTGTAAAATGTTTTGGATTGATGACCAGCCCAACAATGACTGAGGGAGACAGCGCTTGTAAAACGCCAATCCTGAGCGGTCTTATCGCACGTCTTGGGTCGTTTTGCTGTTTACAAAATAAATGGTTTGAGTGGAGTGTCATCTGTCACCTTAATGTGGCTGTAACTGTTATCTTCAATACACAAACTACAGGCTCGTTGTTATTGTTCAGCAAGAGAATGGGATGCTGGGATAAGGAAAAATGGATGCATCCCACAAGCTCACTCATTTCTCAAACCCACTCACCATACCTAAACCCTGTGGTCTAAAACAAATAAGATAGCCAACAATAAATGTGTATATTTAATTAAAATATATTTATTTATATTAAATTATTAGATTTTTTTTGTTTGGTTTTTATTTGTTTGGTTTTTGTATTGTTTTTATTTCCACTTTCTGTTTGTTTTTGTTTTTTTGGTTGGAGGTTGTTTGGTTTTGGTTTGGATTTTGTTTTGTTTGGTCTGGTTTTGGTTTATTTTGTTTATTTAATTGTTGTCTTTATTTGTTTTATTTTAAAATTCTTTTGTTGGGGCGTGTGTGGTTTTGTTTTTAGTTTGTATTGAGTTTTTTTTAATTTTCTTTTTTTGGGGGGGGGCTTGTTTTGGGGTTTTTGTTTGGTTTGTTATTTATGTAATTTTGTTTTAGTTTTAGTTTTTAGTTTTTTATTTAAGTTTAATTTTTTTCTGGGTTTGTTTGATTTTGCTTTGTGTTTTTAGTTTTTGTTATGATTAGTTTTTTTGTCTTTAATTTTTTTTGTTTTGTTTTGTGGGTTTGATTTTGCTTTGGGTTTTTAGTTTTCTTTTGGGGGGGGGATGTTTGGTGTGCTTTTGGTCTGGCTTGGTTGTTTTATTTATTTTATAATTTGTTTTTGTTTAGTTTTTATGTTTAGCTTTAGTTTTTATTTATTTATTTTTGCTTTAGTTTTGTGGGTTTGTTTGGTATTGCTTTGGGTTTTGTTTAGTTTTTTTGTTTAGTTTTTGTTTTTATTTCATTCTTTTGTTTTGTGGGTTTGTTTGATTTTGCTTTAGGTTTTTAGTTTTTTTTTTTTTTGTCATTTAGTTTTTTGGGGGTTGGTTTTGTTTGGTGTGCTTTTGGTCTGATTTTGTTTTCTATATTTATTTTTTAATTTTTAAATGTAGTTTTTGTTTGGTTTTGCTTTGGGTTTAGTTAAAATTTTTTATTTTTTTTGGTTTGTTTGAGTTTTTTTTTTGTGGTGAACTTTCACTTTAAGAGATATTTGTACATCTGCTCTTTCACAGGAGAGGTCAGGCTCTTCTGAGGATTGTTCAGAGGATGATGAAGGCTTGGACTTGTGTGCAATTCAGAACACCACCGCTAAACTCCTCGTGCTGAACCGGGCGATCAAAGATCTCCACTTGTCTTTGTTGCGCTCTCTAAAGGGTACAGCAATCTTTCCACAATAGCATTCATATGAAACACTTCTCCGATATGACATATATGTGACATGACTTCATTTTATTAATGTAATACAGGGAGGGGCAGCGACGCTGGCCTTAGTCAGACGATAGAGTCTCTGTCCAAGACAATTGATGATGTCATCAGAGGTGTTCCGCGTGAAATACCTGGAAGACGTTCCGACAGTCTTTGGCTTCCATGTGAGAAGAACATCATGGCCGCCCGAGATCAAGTGCACTTGGCGCTGCAGGCTTTGACAGCAGCGTTCGATAAAAGCACAGATGGAGTACAGACGCTGGACACAGACAGACAGTTTGTTCAACCAGGTTATGGCAGCAGAAATCGAACCGTCCCTAAAGTTGTGTATTCTCTTTCTTCAGGCATTAGCACATGTTCCAGAGACGCCCGCTGGGTGTGATTTTTGGATAGCCGCAGATTGAAGGGGTACTAGTTATGTATATAACTATATTTGGTATAATGGTTAATGCTAAAGTTGGCTCACTTTTCATTTTGATGTATTTACAGTATGCACTCAGTCTGCAAATTTTATACGACCTGTAGATTTAACTGTAGGATTTTAAAGAAGGGCTTAAGAGTATAACTTATGAAGATGGGTTTCTGTGTATTTTGCAAGTGATCAAGCACCCAAGTCTTTTATAACTCATGCAGAAAATACTTCTTCTGAATATATTTTTGCACTGGAAACCTTTGCACAGGCTTGGGCACACTGATATTTCACAATATAATTTGCATGGAGATTTTTAGCATTTGCAGTGGCATTTACTCTGGATCATGTAATTGTTCCAAACTAATTTATACTTTCAGTAATAAACACTCACTGGGACAAGAAGTCTGGTGTTCTATTTAAACATACTGCACAATTGCATGCCTTTTCTGTGTTTCTATATAATTTATTTATTTATTTTAATCTTGGTCATAACTGGAATCTGTTGGAAAATGGCTAATTTACAAAGTAACATTGTTTTGTATTTTTATTTGAGTTTCATTACAAATATGGTAGTTGTGTGTTGTATGACATGTTTTACTTAATCGTTTATGTAAAGTATTCTTCACAGGAGTGGTTTACATTCAAAGGTCAAGGTTTTAATAAGTTTTTATTTATTTAAAAATTTTTTTTTTTTTAACTATATATAGTTTTTAGTACATCAAGTTAAATTAAATGAAAATGAGAACTGTTGTTTAACTAGATAAACAAAAGAAGTTTAAGGTTTATAAAATGTTTTATTTCCATGTTAATGTTTATTTTATTTCAAACAGCAAAATCGATTTTTTTTTACACCGTAAACAATCGTTTACATAAATTAAAAGATTTTATTTAGAACCGACCACTCCGAGTAAAACGCAATTATTTTTATCGCTCACAAACGCAAATATAAAAGTTGTGTTGATGGTGAGGGGAGTGGCGGGAACTGCTCTCTGTTCTAGAGCGGGAGGCGCGCGCTGCTTTCTCTCATGATCTCACTCAGAGTTCCTCAGAGTCACTCACAACACTTCCAACGGAAAGCGCGTCAACCGTTTGCTAAACTTTACTCTTCGAGATAAAATATTAAATATTTATGACTTCCGACTATAACTTTACCTCATATCAGGTAATTGAGTTTTATTCCGTTTTTATATACATATTCATGAATATTTCATGAAGTAATGTTCTGCAAAGTTTAACTTTCGTTGAAAGTGTTTAATACTGCTAAAAGAATACCTTTTAGTTTTTAGTTTTTTTCAATAAAAAGTTTCACTTGTGTCTCTGTTAATGAGTATTTTGTTTCTTAGGATGAATCTGTTGAAAATTGTTTGCTCCAACGTTATTGTAAGTAATCAATAATACAATATACGTTTAAATATTATGTGGCAAAATGCTAAGTCTTCCTTATATGAATACTTATGTTAATATCGTTAATATAAATATAATGAATACCTATTTAAATTGAATCAATATTATTTTTATATAATTACAAACATTTTTCCCCCAAGGTCCTCATTCATCACTGCATGGGAAAAGGTAATCAGAGCATTCATAGTGTAATTGTTTAACATGCTTAAAATTCAGATCAAATCATGCAGGACTGTTTTATGTTATAATCCTCTCACTATTATATAAAACAGATGTTAATATGAAAGATACCATCTGTAACTAAAACAATCCAAAGGAAAGTTTGAAAACACATGTACAATTTGTTAACACCGAAAGTGCCAAATGCATAAGATGTTTGTGTTTGTCAACAAAAATACCCCTGTGTTTACAGTGGAGAGCAGAACCCTGCTTACACATGATGACTATTACCCTGAGTATGTGCCAGATCGTCAGCCATGGAACATTGCCCGCAGCCTCTGCCTCCAGCGTTCAGGGTCCTTTGTGATGGTGTCCAGTACTGAAGAGATTCAAAAGCTGAACAGTTTTCTGCGATCCCTAAATATCACCCAACCCGTATGGATAGAAAGTGCAGGCATGCTTCAAAAAACTGGTGAGCACCATATCCCACATTTCCCAGCACGCCTCATATTTGCTACATTGGCAATATTGTTCTTTAGTAAACATTACAGGTTGTTTTCCAGGTCCTCCAGACATATACATGCTGGAATTTCCAATGCGTCCGCACCGGAAATCAGCTCGCCTACGCCACAAGTTCCCTAACATGGAAGCGCTTACGGTTTGCGCTCACCTCCAGCTTGATCCCACTTGCCAAGGACTTTCCATAGTCTTCTCATACGCCATTCAGTCGTTCATTAAAGAATTCCAACTCCAAGCACAAATCACCAGGAACGAACCGGTCCACCTTGCATTGCTAGTGCATGGTTCAAACACCTCCTACATAACTGGCTTTCCCAACGATGCTTCCTGGCACTTTGTATGCACGAGTTGGGACGGGAATACCGGGGAGTGGGTCATCTGGGTGGATGGAGCGGTTGTGGGTTCTGGGAATTCCCTCAACTCAACCAGTCACATCGGAGGCGATGGCCTTTTCATGATTGGACAAGACCAGGAGACCTACGGGGGCTACAATAACGACAAGGCGCTTTGTGGGAACGTTACGCAGCTGTACATGTGGGATCGTTTCTTGGTCAAATCTGAAATCCAAAGCATGGAAAAACTTTGCTCAGCCGTCCCTTTTGGTTTGTTCTTCAAGTGGAATGAGTCTGCGCTGGAAATAGAGACGTCCCTGCAGACACGTAGAGGGAACTCGCCATGTCAAGGTAGAGTCGCCATGTCACCCTCACATCTTTGCATAATAATTTCCACTCTCCCGCCATGCGAATACAGCCAAGTTTTGATTGGCAACAACAGGCTGAGATGGTTGTAAATATTTCATCCATGCGGTAATGCTGAGACCCACCCTTCAGAATATACTCTTCACTTCACATGAGTAATGGACCCTTATTCTTTTCTGAAGAGAGGACACATGGTCTTTACAGACTTGGAGAGCTCAAGAACTATGACTCACGATGATGACATCTTAAAATTGGCAGACTAGAAACAAACTTGGGTTGCCGGCTGTTCGGTGGCCCCAGACAGATGCATTTTCTCAAAAAGATCAATTTTCTGCTAAACTAGTTTTTGTTCTTGATTCTTATAGGTTCCAAAATCCAACCACGAGACCAGCTGGTCATCTCTGGGTTGGATCCAAGTCTGCATCACAATCTTTCCTTCAATTCTAACAAAACCTGTGTAGCCTTTGACCCTGCAAGTGGAAAACCCATTAATAGCTTATGTACTACTCACAGAGGAAGTGTTTGCCTGTTCCCAAAAGGTGATCACCTGCTTTATGACATTCTGAAGCTCTAGACCCAATGTAACACAAGTAGTGACATATCTTTTATTCTGTGAAATGGATTATTGAAAAATAAAAAATGTAGGGTGGGACTTAGGTCTATCCATTAGTTATTGATCGAATGAAGAAAAGTCTGTTCCACTTGGATATTATGAAAGTTAATTTAAAAGAAACGTATGTATGAATAATACGCTCAGTAACATGCGTTTACAAAATATAAAATATATCGTTTTCACCTTTAAAGGTTTGATAAGGACATTTTAGCGTTCCAAACCACAACTTAGTGAGTTGCAAATGCAAATTATTTTACGAAAATAACAACCTGATGTCCGATTCATGGAAAAATGATCCTTATGAACCTGTTCTTTTTATTGAGGTCATCAAAAAGATTTGTGAAATTGTGAATAGTTTATGAAATAGTGAATCGTTTGGAATATTACCGAGTTCACAATACTGATGACTGCAAGTTGCACTGTAAGTCATTTTTCAGTTACCCGGGAACCGTTATTGTGGTGTATACTTTTAGTTTGTGAGACTGACATTATTTATTCACTGTTTGTTCATATGAAAATGTGTAAGTAAAGAGTCATATTCAATATATATTGTGTTTTAGGACAGTGGTTCCCAACATGGGGGGCGCGGAAGCAGATATACTTTGAGGTAGGGCTGGGCGATAAAACGATAACTATAATTATAGTGATATAATTTTCCTCGATAAAACGAGTTCGATAAATATTCGATTCAATGTTTATGAGCCAAAAGCGGAACAAAACAGCGCTACTCATTTGAACCGCGTCACACGGTCCATTTATCCGCTCGCGCTCGGTTCGAACGGCGGCGCAGCGTAGAGCGAGGCTGACTAGAGCAGATGTGCTTACTCACTGATCACGCAACCACTAAACAGCGCTTGAATTCAGCGAAGAACACAAATGACTGATATAAACTAGTATCAGTCAATATCAAGTCAACTGATATAAACTATCCAGATGAAACAGCGCTGACAAACAGCAGAAAAACTGCAACGATACAGTCAGAAGGCTTTTCAATCTACAAATCGCCATCGTTTAACTTACCTTGGCTTTATTGTAGGAACACTAACTGCACCATGGTATTGTGGCAGAAATGTGTGATATTTATATCGAATTTATCATATTAATTTAGACATGTATTAAATGTATTAAAGGAGTAATGGAATGTAATTACAGTATATTTGTAATTAAGCTATAGCGTTTGTGCATTTATACTAAATGTATTTAGACTACTGTTTTTCATACAAATAGGCTACCTAGGAACCATATAGCTGCATTTTTACCACAGTATTGAGGTGCTATATGTGTGGTTTTAACTCTGGTTGTCATGATGTAAATGTATGCTACTATGGAAGAACAATGGTTAATTTGAATAAAACTCGAACAGTCCGAAAAATTAAATTTCACCATAAAAAATGAGGTTGTTACTATTTTTACAGATGTTACTGATTTTGATAATGAACATAAATTTACATCTGCATCCCAACTCAAACTACTACTACTGTCAACTCAATGTCAAATGTGCATTTCTAAGAGACAAAACATTAATATTATTATTACACACACACACACACATATACGGTGTATATATATATTTATATATATATATATATATATATTGGGGGGGGGGGAGCATGGAAAAGGGTTGGGAACCACTCTTTTAGGAGATAGTGACTCCCTATTTTTTGTTTGTGTTGGTTTTGTGTTTAGTTGTGTTGATTTGCTATCTTTTGCATATTTGTTTTGTGTTTTATGCTTGTGTTGTTTCATTTTGCTTTTGTTTTGTGTGGTTTTGTTTTGTTATCTTTTGCATTTTTGTTGTGTTTTATTTTTTTATGTTTTTTTTTATTTATTTTTTTTATTGTGTTTTTTTTGTGAAGTTTTGTTGTGTTTTGTTATCTTTTGCATTTTATTTTGTAATTTTTTTTGTTTTGACTGGAGCCCTAAAATGCAGTTTCTTGTGCGTTTGACCATGTGCCATAATCCAGGCATTTTCCTTCTTCATTTCAGAGCAGCTGGACTTTGGTTTTCCTGGAACCTCGTTCTTCTCACAAGTCGGCAATGAGATTCATTCCAAACCTGTGAGTTAGACAGAGGTCACTGCTGATTTTTATTAGATTCACTATAAACATACACTATAAGGATCCAAAATGCAGTCACTATTGACACAGACATTCAATATAATTGTCTAATGACCTGATCTTACATTATCCTCCTCTTTCTCCACAGGATACAAATGTAACCTTGTTCCCTGAAAATGATCTGACTCGTCATGTTTCCCTCTTGAGTGCCATTTTGAGAGTTATGGACCGCAAAGCAGACATCCTCACACATTCTGATCTTCTGTACCTCACAGAAACCATCGATAAGGCTACTCAACTCAATAAAATAGTCGTTTCCACTGATGTCTTCATATCTATGATCCGCAATTGCTTGGAACTAGTCAGCAGGCTCATCAACCCTGATATGGCCGAACAATGGGAGGATCTGATAGCACATGGGGTATGTTATGAGACTGAAATAGACTCTTCTGAAACCAAATCCTCTAAAAAAGACCACTCTTCTGTCAAGTTTATGAGTCAGTTTCCTGTATTTTCATAGAATTACCCTGGACCGTTGACAATGGTGGAGAACATTGACAAGCTGCTGTGTATGCTGGCGGATGCTCTCTGGATCGAGCGCAAAAGCTTCACAATGTCAACAAAGAACATGGGTACAGTGGTTTTTTGCCTCAGTTAGCATCATCTCTGACCTCTGAAAAATGGGAGTCAATATTTGCTTTCTTGAGAGGTAGAGTAATAAAGATAAACCTCATTGCATTCAAGCAGTTATTACTATTTAGCCATGGCAATTTTGGTTGTCCCACCATAAAAACTGTACAAACTGATGAGTTTTTGTTATTTTGAGAGTCACGAGATCAATTGCTTCCTTAGATATTCATCTGGAGCCACGGAGGCTGACGCCAATGAGCTGCGGTTGTGTGTTCAAGCCCTCGGTTCACGGCGGACAGTTCGGCAGCCATGATGAGATCCTCATACCAGAGTCAGAAATGCAGCGAGTCTTTTCTCTGGGTGAGACATGAAGGGCTTTTGGGTAGTTTTCGTATTTCTACAGATAAATGCCACGATTTAATCAGAAGCTAATATTTTTTGACAGGCCACAAGGAAGTGATGGTTATTCATACCTACTACAGTAACCTGTTAGAGATGTTGTCCAGACTGGAGGTGAAAACCCTTGCTGACCAACAGGCAGACAAGAGGTTAGCATGAGCATGCTGAATTTTCTACACCAATATTAATCTTCACATTTGGATTTATAGTTGATTGGCGTCATAATTCATTATATTAACACTGTTTTGTTCATGTATTTGCAGGCATCACACTGGTCAGCTGGCCACAGCAGTAATCTCAGCAACAGTTCGAGATGTTTCCAGGGCAGAAAATGTTCCTGTCTCTGTCCAGTACACCTTATCCTCTGGGATTACGGTAAAAAGACACTTAAAAACGTTTTCAGAAGTGAATAAATTTGATTAACCTCTGATGCAGGGTTATTATTGTTAACTAAAACTAAAACCATAAAAAAAAAACATTTTTTGTTACTGAGAATAAAATAAACGTTAACAGAAATAAAATAAAATATATATATAAAAAACGAACTTGTTTTATTTCTTATTTTCATTTAGTTTAACTTTAAGTACTTAAATAACTAAAACTAAAAATTTAATATTAATTATTAACTATGTAGACAAGCTAATAAAAATTAAAACTTTAAAACAAAATTACTAAAACTTTAATTAAAATTAAAGTGAAAACAGAAGATATAACTATAATAGTTTTAAATTATATAAAAATAATGATTTTCCTTTTTCTTCTTTAGGCAGAGTATTCCAAACAAGTCACTCCCGTCTGCGTCTTTTGGAATATCATGTAAGAGAACGTAATGCTGTTATAAAACTGCTAACAGGTGTCATTTCATATTACAGTCTCTGATGTAGTGTCTCATGTCCAAAGGGCGGGTCATGCAAGTGCTTGGTCCAAGAAAGGGTGCAGAGCACTGCCTTCTCTTCCTGATGTCACTTCCTGCTTCTGCAACCACACCACCAATTTTGCTGTCCTCATGAATTATATGGAGCACAGGGTATGTTTAGACTTTGTGCTTTCAACTGTAAGAAAAATCTAACAAAGAATCTGTTTACATTTTATATATGAAGAGTTCATTTGCAAAAACAGATAACTCCGTTTTCAACAACTTTCAAAAATCATGTTTTTTCATTGTGCATTCCAGTTAATCTCAATCAGACTGCAGTCGGGTTATTTTGATTAGGTAAAAAATAACTAACAAATACAGCTAACTAACACAATAAAAACACAATAACATAATAAAAAACAGGATTTATGAAAAAAAAAAAAAAACTGAATTATCTGT